GTTTTGTCACCGCGCTTTAGACACCGCGGTTTAGTCAGGCGCGCTTTTGTTGTGCGCGCATTTGTGGTGGAACCGTTTCTTCTGCTTCTTAAAAAATGTTTTATGCATTTTATTTTACGTGGAGTTGCTCTTTCTGATTCAGAAATCTATTTTTCCAGGAAAGGAACATTTCTGAAAATCCTCTATCTCTCTTGCTTGTCAGTCGAATTGATTTTCACCGGAGATCAATGACTAGGACTTTCAAACATGGAGAAGTCCAAAGATGTGCAGTCAAGTCAAGTCAAGCGTAACTTTTAGTGACTTTTTGGAAACCCATACGATATCAGTTTCCTTGGCAAGAGAAGGGAATCAGTTGCCTTTAAAAAAGGGGTTTTTTTTAAAAAAAAAAAAAATCCAGCCACCTCCGTAAGCTTGGGATTCAAGCACTACCAAAATATGAACTAGGCCCAACCCTATTTGGCTTTCATTAGCCATTAACTTTAAAGCTATACATCTGCGGGTAATCCTTCAAAAAAAGGTAGCTCCAGAATATGTAGAGATGGTTTGAAATGTTTAAGATTATCCCAGGTCTGCTATTGTTGTATTACATTTTGAATTGATGTTAAACTTAATTTGATTAACCATATATCAACTTATAGGTCCTATCTATACCCAAAGATGGAGAGGTTCACCAAACATTTGGGAAGCTTATTTCTGATATCAACAAACCGGGGGCCAATTATAGCCTCAGCCAAGTCAACCAGCTCTTTGGAGAAACATCATACGATTTTCTTGCAGTAAGTTACATACATGTTGGCTAACTGGCTGGGAACGGTTTGTCTGTCTGTTCTAACGTTTGTCTATCTCATTGCAACTGCTCTAATAAAGTATCAAATATTCCTATGGTTTTACTTTGTCTTTTGATGCATCTAGAGCAGAAATAACACAGCCTACCTGCTTTTACTGAGAATGTTACAGGAACACACAATAGGATTTTCCTAAATATAGAACTTCCAAATAAAAGTCATAAATAGAACCATATGATCCATAATTGCTAGATATATCCTTGCATAAACTACGTTATTTTTAAAGTTAATTCCACACAAGTTCCTAATATCTGATATACCTTTTCTAGTCTGTAATGGCATTGGCTGGTTTTAGCTAATATTCAGTGTAATAAATAACGTTTCCAGATTGTTAGTTTGTAGAAAAATGAGACAAAAACAATTCTCGTCCTTTATATTTGCTTCTGTTATTGAGATATTGTTGTTTCTTAAGTCATTTATAGAATCCACTGAGAAATTCTACCATGCAAGTCTGGAAAAACTTAACTTCAAACAAGCTTCAGAAGATTCAAGAAAACATATAAATGCCTGGGTAGCAGAAAAAACATCAGGTGGAAATGATAATAGTGTTAATTAGTAGCTGCGTTACGTAAGGCGTGCAATATTGTGTGTGCGTGTGAGAGAGACAGACAAGGCAGGTAAACCCACCATAGTTAACCATTATTTGCTACGTAGAACCTCAAATGAAATGCTAGCCGTGAATAGTTTATTGGTTTTATCAATTGACACAACCTCTGAGCAGATTTCCGTTATTTAACTTGCCTGTTGTTTAACTTGTGTGTGTGTGGTAACCTTACTAAATGATTATATGATATGGGCAACTATATAAATGTTAAGGATGGGTGGATGGAGGCCCTAAGAAAGCAAAGTCGATATTCCATCCTCAGTCAGAGAAGCTCTCTGGATGATCCCCTTGAGCTTCTAAAGGAGAATCAAGATAGAAATCTAATAATTAAATTATAATGACTTAAGAGAGAAGGAGGGAGGGGGTGGAAGGGAAAGAGGGAAAGAGATGTTAAGAAATAATAAATCTTATCTATCAATTAAAGCAAATTTTTTTTAAAATCTTTCAAAGGAAAAATTCAGAATCTGCTTGGCCCTGGAGTAGTTAATTCGCTTACAAAAGTGGTTTTGGTGAATACTATGTATTTCGCGGAGGATTGGGCAGATGAGTTTGACAAAAATCAAACACAGGAAAAGCCATTTTGGATTAACAAGGTATTCATTTATTATCACAGTAAAAAGAGACAATCTGAACATTTTAAATTGTATTATTTTGTATATATCTGAAGCAAGGGTAGAGTTAATTTGAAACATGACTGTAGCAAAAGAAATTGCTTAGTCCTTAACATTTTATTGATCTTCGTGGAAACGGTTGAATCATGAAGATCAGTCATCTTGAGTCCGTCAGGCTTTGTCTGTAGCAATTCAGACTTTTCCGTCAATAAAACTTTCTAATTCAGCACCACTCCCACTCATTCTATGTCAGTGTTTCTCAACCTTGGCAACTTGAAGATGTCCGGACTTGAGAAACACTGTTCTATGTGGTTAACCCCAATAACTGCGGAGTGATTAGTGAATCTATTTGCTGAGCTGATGGCTCTCTTATGTATCATCACCTGGAAGTATTCGATTGAGGAAGAACAGGAAAAATATGTTTCTGTGTTGCTCTCCACAAAGAAGGATAGTTTTGATATTATAAACATCTGTTCATTTGAGAAAACTGCTGATTAAAACCACTCACGTGTCCTTCATTGCAACTAGACATAAAGATCTTTTTTTTTTCATCTTTTCTCATCTTTCTTACTATCTTCTCCTCCTGGTTTCTTATGACTTATCAATTGTTTGTAACTTATGATTAATGATTTTAAGTTTGATTTATGACCTGTGGCCTATTACATTATGCTGCTTATATGTACACCGTGAGCTTATACACCGGCGACAAATTCCTTGTGTCGGATGACGCTTAGCCAATAAAGAATTCTATTCT